CAACGGAGTTTATGTGCTAGCGGTGCGCTTGGCTACAAGAGCTTTACTGCGCACCATGATTTCCACCCTACTGTCTCTCTGTTATATCCAATGGGATGTAGAATACACAAGCTTATCGATCTGTGAGAATCCAGTGCATGAAATAACGAATCTGCAGGTTTTCTAAACTTGCAGTGAAATTCGGCTGAGTCTTGTAGGCGAAAATTCTGCTGATCAGGATTGTGAGGGTCTTTGTCTATGGTGATTTTCGGGTGGCCTGTTCTTTTCGAGGTTGCCTGGTTTCTTTGCCAGCAACGCTTTTTTGTGAAAGATTTTTAGAGCCGTTCTCGGTGTACGGTAGCATCAACTGCTCGGTTTCGCATATTTCACCAACCCGCATTGTTTCAGCGGATTTCCGCATCAGCGCCTATGCTGCTGCTTACTCTGCAATTCCAGGAGTTCTTTATTCGTCGTCATGCCCCCTTTTTCGCAACGTCATCGGAGTCCAGGCTCCGACTTGTCGGTTGCTTGCCACGACCTGTAGCCGACTGTCACACTGGTACATCCAATGCGACACCGTAGGCTCAGGGTCACCCATCTGCGAAATTCGGTGGATCATGTCAGCTGCTATTCTCGTTTCTGAACTACCTTATGTCCCAAACATTCGAAGAACGAAACCACTGACTCATGGTTACCTCAGGACTATGTGACCGCTTGATGTCGGTGGAACACCGTGAAACGACGAGGAAAATGCAACCCTAGTTAAGAATTGGGTTGCGTAAGCGTGTCCAAACAATATCTTTGAACGTAGGGATCATAACACAAGAAGCTGATTAAATGACGCCACTTCCACGCGTACCGACCATGGACGTTGTTCGCTGTTCTTCCATGGTAATGTGATTGCATGTTAACGCACGTTCCCCACCAATAATGACAAACTAAATAGGATATAGCGTCGTCTTATTCAAACAACAGGAAACCATACTTGACACAGTACCCTTCGTGTGAGCTGTTTTCTGCCAGTGAGACAGCGTATACCACTGACCCAAGTTGTGTTTGGTAGTCTCGGAATTTGCTTTGGGATTTGGCGTTCGGATTTAATGATCGGTAGTCTTACAGATAAACGATGGTTTGGATTTTTCCTTTTTGACGCGCGACGATTTTCCGAATGGTCAGATGTCGTCTATCCTTTGCCTGGCCAAAATGGCTCTCGTTATGATAATGCAGTGGTACTTTTGTTTCGGGTTTAAGGTCTCCGTAATATTTTTGTTCGTTCTGTGTCATTCACGTGTCTGTTTTTTTGTTTGCTTTTGCGGTCCTCTTGTTACAGGTAAATAACCATTATAAACTAGGGATGCAACTGGATTCATCTAGGCCTCACGTTCATATCTGGATTACGCGTAAACGAGGTAGCATTTTGAGAACACTGATCCGTGGTTCGCGGGTTTTCGAGAATGCAGTTCAGCGTTTCAATTGGATATTGTTATAGGCTTATGGTGGTTTTTCGTGGAGATTGGCCGAGATATGTTATCGGTGTTTCGTGGTCTTCTGAGAACAGGATGGTGAAGCCAATCAATTCACTTCAATTCAATTTATGTATCTTGCCCCAGTTACCTGGAAGATATTTCCAACAACTTAGTTGGTGCTGCTGGTATGACGCGTAAAATGGGGAAATTCAATTGGGGTGGCCTATTTGGTGAAATTTCTTACCCAACGACCCATTTCGAAAACTGGGTCGACTAGCTGGAAAGTGGCCTTCATGCAGCTGTTCCTTTCGGATTGGCTTGCTGATCTTGTGACTCCGCACTCTTTATTATATTCACTTTATACAAACTCCACCAGCCAACTGCGCACTGATGGTCTGACTTCTGTAGCACGAAAGATTTCCGCTACCTCGTTGGCCATTTCTCAACAAGATTTCACCATTGATCTAACTACAACGTAGAATTTTCGGAACACACTGAATTAACTAGTGAGCTAGTCTATCTGAAAACAGTAAAGACAAGGCTCTGACGAACAGATGTTTTCAAATTTACTTGGCTGCCACAGCTTGTGAGCGCTATATTTGTATACCATTCTGTTGCATAGTTGTGGTCATTGCGTTAACATAGGCCACTGCCCTGGAGATGACCAGGACGGATTGGGGCTACTGGTCTTGGTGGTAGGTTTTTCACTCAGGTAAAATGGAAAAACATTGTTGACAAGTAGTGGTGACGTCGGAAGGATACTGCTCGGAAACTGGCTGCCAACAGATATAGTGCATACAAATGACAATTTCTACATCCTAAACCCATTATCAGCAAAAATACACAGAAAAGATTTCGGGTTGAATTCTTTTAGATATGCGGATGCGGCTCCTAACCAGGGTCTAGATAAGCCCGTGACCGCGTGCAGTGTATTTGACTTTGAAATGTACCCAAACAGGAATGAGTGTATGAACCAATAATTGACATGCACAAGCGTTTCTCTTCTGCATGCTGTACCATTATCCTAATGATCCATTTTCCTATCAGCTAGCTTGCAGCAGACTAAGAAAAAGGCAGATGGGTTGGAAGTTTGCTTTCGTCAAGTGTATTATAACAGTTAAATTGCAATCATGCGGCCCGATAACGTTTTATGCTTGTGAGATTACGCTTACCAAACACTTGGACCTGGTTGCGTGAGGCAGCATTCCACTTCTGTGAATTGTTGGTTCTTAATTGTTTAGTTTACTGAAGTTTCCCCGCTACACGACCACAGACAAAGTTTCAAAGGATAAGCTGCGTGGTTGTGTAAACTACGTGAGGTAGGCTCACTTACGCAATTCGGTCAGCAGTACGTCTTTGCACGGTTTGTGCTGATTCTTGGAAACCCATGACGTGTTTAATGTTCTAGAGTAGAAGAATCTGCTTCAAACGATGAGGTTAGCTTTCCACTCAAATTAATATTTTTCCAGGATTAGAGTAGCTGGAGGTGAAGAGATTTTAAAGAAACGGGGAGGTGCTCATAGACGAGAGACTGGTGAGCAGTAACTTCGTCAGCTGTCGATTCCTGATCGACAGCTGTGTCCAGTATCCACAGATCTCTCTTCCTGGAGTTCTTGGAAAACCTGCTTGATCGGTTGGTGGCAATCGGTTTTGGAGTTGGTGTCCACATGAGGACGTCGTAAGCTGTCGTATTATCAACGTTGACACCCGTGAGTTTAGTTTATGTAACAAGACCTGGTCATGTGACTATGGTCCTGTTTGGCACTTAGAGTTGCGAAATTTGGTTTTCTATAACTTCTATGGTAGTTCTGATTTCATAGAGTAGTTTGTTTCAAATTCGTTTTTGACATTCATATAACTTGATATGCACGTACAGAACTTGACTTAACTTTGCAAGTATCCTCCTTTTGATGTCCCCGTTGAATTCCACGGTTCGGGGCTTTTAGTAAGTGTCGGCACCAACGGAACACTGCGAATTCTGTCCCGCTTTTCATAAACTTGGTGTTGTTGTCATATTTTCACGTGTTTTTATCTTGAAACATGGTTGGTATTATCGGGATTGCGCACTCGGTAAAGTGAACCGCCCGCATTTTCAAGGTCGGTAATCCAAGTAATCCAATATTGAGAGTGTACATCCCTTGTGGTTAGCATTCTTACGACGTCAAGTTCAGATATTAATTATGAAATAACTCCTTGCTAGCTGGCTACCCGACATACTGGCAAACAGCCACCGTAGAACTCAGAAAAAATTAACCATAACTTGCAGGACTGTAAGATCTTAATGAGTACACTGACTTTACATTGGATCAGACAAATTGAGGCAATATATATTCATTTATTTCTGTTTAAACTAGCGGCAGGCAACAAAACATGATTTCAGTGAAAAGCGGAGAGAATGTATTTTTGCTTTAAAAAGAGATTTTTTGATCTATTAGAGGCTAAGAATCGAAGCATTCATTAAGAAATTACAACTGTGTTCCATTTATGCCTTCGAATGCTGATCTTGTTATTGGATTTGGCCACTGAGCCATGTTCAGTAGCCGAGAGAGTTTTGACTCCTATAAGTGTAACCAACTATGTTGCTTTGTAAATACTTCCACTCAAAATCCTGTCATCAGTGCAATCACACCTTGAGCATACCGATTCCCCGTGCGAATAGTGGCGTCGTAAGACGAACTGCTATTTGTGTTGACTTTTATGTCCATTTGTGCTCCATTCGAGTCCTTTCAGTTGTCCTTTCAGTCTTTTCATATTCCTTTGACCTATGCAAGCGACGAGTGAGTCAGCAAGCATGACCCAGGTTAAAAACATACTGTCAACAAACAGGCGGACTCCCAGCAGACGCCCAAGTCCTGAACTGTTCGAAAAAAACATACTATCTATAGCTCCTTGGTTGTATTTTTGCCTTAATTCCCTACCTGATTCGTCGTATGTAAACGTGAGGCAGAGGAGCACAACAGCAATTGAAACTACCGGTCAAGGTGATTCCAAGAAAAAGGCGGTGGTCGCACAGCAAGAGCTTTGAAGCTATACGTTCCGTGTAATTTTGCGGGATCAATCTACCAAACTGGCGGATACTTCTAAAATGAGGGGACGGTAACTTGAGAACTAAAGACGGTTTTCGCTAAGGGCAAAGTGACACCTGATATTCAGATAGATGTCAATGCGTCCTTCACTGATGACGTGGTTGAAAGAAAACTGCTGACAGAGTAGGCAATGTGGGGAGAAAAGCTGTCAACCTACCGGGCGAAACCTCGTACACCGAAGGACTTACAAACAGGCAAATTTTATCATCAAGCTCTCGTAGCACCAGACTTAGCCGCAGATACGCAAGTACTTCTAAAGACTTCATTTTCGACCATCATTTAAGGTGTATAGAGCAAACGTTCAGTCTAACAAGTAAACAAATCAAACTGCAGGAAAGGTAGAAAAAACAAAAACATCCTCTTTATAAGATTAGTAAGTGTACGTTGGAGTACACTGCTTACGCAGACACTTGTAATGGGGGCCATGGTAGACAGACAAGCGTACACACTGAGTCCTTTTACTACAGAAATGGTGACTTTGAGTACTCCCTTCTCGATGGTACAACAGATGGCAACCATGACTGATCCGGTGGTCAGTACACTGTCAAAAGACTGTATACAACATGATGAACATGGAAGAGAATCGTGCAATCTACGCTCTTCCAAAAACATGTACAATGCGAAGGACCCAGATTGTTCACCGTTGCCCGAGGATCTTGCCTGCCATTGGCTGGCCGGTCATGTCAAGCAGCGTCTAACAGGATGGAATGAACAGCTATCTTTACTCAAAATGCTATCAAATTAGATAATACTGAGATGTACGGCACGATGCTATGTCCCTTCACCTTACTGGTGATACCAACACTGGAAGTGAGAGTTGTACCATGTCTGATCACAGGCTGACTATGTTTGGAACTACATATCCTTGATTCACAACTGGCCTACCAAAACTAGCGGAGCTAGTAATACCCAAGCCTCAGATTCAGCAGTCGGGAATTCCGTATGCCAGACCCTATGGCACAGAGTTAGATATTCACTGACAGCCTTGGTAACAAGAGACAGCTAACTAAATCACCGTAGAAGCACATGCTCTGGCGCACTGCGCACTTAGCTCAATCGATCAAAAGGCACAACTACCCGGGAGAAGCTTTCCGGCAAGCCTTGGTAACAAGAGGCAGCTAACTACATCACCGTAGAAGCACATGCTCTGACGCACTGCGCATTTAGCTCAATCGATCAAGGGGCACAACTACCCGGGAGAAGCTTTCCGGCGCAAAAGTCACGTGGATAGTAATACTGCAGTTCACACCGGTATGTTTAATGGCTACTCAGAACGATATTATCCGGGCAGAAGTAACCTGTCATGACAAAAGCACCAAGTAACCTGGAGGTATCTACAGTTGCATGGCTCCAGAATCGCACTTATAGAGCTCCACTGTGTATCTAGCAGTGGAGAGCAACACCGGATCAGCTGAGCTGGCCACACTCAAAGCTTGAACCACATTTCTTCTGGGAGCGAAATGCCGTTGTTTAGTGTACTCGGATTCTAGCTGATGCCGCCTTTGACTGTGATAACCCTATTTTTAGAATGCATAACAAAATTGACCGCTCGTTTATCGCCCCGACGTTTAGCGCTGAATACTGCATTTCCAACAAAGTTCTAAAGCTTTGTTTCTGAAAGATGGACACCGGTGGTTACTGAGGCCAATCGGTCTCACTCTAAAAAATGTTTGTTTGACCTAGGCACACAAGTTGTCTACAGTCGTCTTTACGACATCATAAGGCATGTTGGTCCACTTAACCTGTCCTTCATGTTAGTGCTTACAACATCTACGACGTCGGCCTCAACGGCCACGATTTTTGAATCCGCACGTATTCGCCTGTCTTATCGGACTGCACAGGTGAACCTCGTTTCATTGACGCTACGCAATTAGTATCTTCGACCGGTCAACCACTCGTCTTTTAAAGCTGGCACGGAGTTGTTAGTTGCAACTGCCTTAACTAAGTACCAACTCAAGCCTTATTTGCCTTGGATTATCCAATTTTCTTGAATTTTCATATTAATACGTCACTAGTCTCATTGCTTGGATTAGTGTTCTAACTGGGTTGAAATTCGAACGATCCAAGCTTTCCTTGCTGAAAGACCCGAGATTATGAGCGACGCAGATATGTTGAATCCCCAAATATCGGACAATGTTAACTAATAACCAGCAAAGCTTAGCCGAAGGGAGCTCATCTTGAATTCCTCAGCTAACATGCACCAACCTCGTATGCACTGGTTACAGACCAAAGAGCGTGAATTCCCAGGTATATGGAGGATGGACCATCGGTGAACGAAAATGGATATGTACGGTCAAATTTAACAAATAGAGTGGGTAGAACCCATACTTCCTGCTTGAGCAAGTAAAGCAAAATTTCGAAAAGATTAAGGAAGATTTCTTGATTTATACTAAAGCAAAGAAAAACAAGCCGTGTGAAAACCTTGTATTAAGGACTTCTAACATAGATGATCTAAGGGAGTTCCAAAGTCACGCATACTACTTTAGTGTTGAGGCAGTCTGATAAATAATTGCTGGTCATAGAGGTTTGTGAAATTGACGGGAAGATTCTGCAAATGTTGAGAATCCTCAATGTCCAGGAGAAAAATGCTCAGTGGTCACAGTAGACGCGTACAACTGTAGCCAGCATCCACATTGTTGTAAGAACAGACGTTGTGGCAGCGAGCGCTCCTGAAACAATAGTCATTCAATACTTGATAATCGAAGGATGAAAATCCACATGACCGATGCATATTACCACCTTGGCTAGAACATTAGCTACTGATATGATGATAGCAGTAAAGTAAAGGACGTGAAGATGATGGATACCGTTTAGTGGAAGATATTATTTAACGGCCTAAACGAAAGACAAAATATTGTTCGGCATTAACTTATTTTTGATGGGAATGAAGTCAGGAATAACGTGCGTTCACATGTTCCAGACATTTGGCTAATTCTAAAGCCAGACCTCGTAAACGAAATTAATACGGACCAGGCTTTTGGGAAAAAATCATCACCTGGAACTCTGGGATCACAGTTTTTGAAGAAGCGTCCAGACACTTCAATACCATGATCAACACGAAAAAGATTTGATGGAACTTTTTGAGACAGTCCAACTGGATTTCAACTGATTGACCTAACATTTATCAAGAAGTCGAAGCTATTCTAGACAAATATAATTGCTCTGTCGAGAGCTGCAGAAAAGTGTTATGTCTGATTCGATGTATCTGACATTGTACAAACCGAGCTACACCGTTACTCGCCCCGGGCGAAGTGATTTTGAACTTGCGACTTGAATTCTCATTACCCCAATAGCAGGTTGGTCAAATGCAACCGTGATTGGGACAGATCTGTATGTTATCAGTACTGAGTGTCACTCAAAATTCCACTAATGTTACCAGTTCGATTTTCGTGAAGCCCCCCATCGATTAGCTTGGCAGACCACAAGTTCGACCAGAAACAACGCTAGTAGCAAGTGACACCCAGAGTTGACAGACCGCTAAACAAATTCAGGATTTACAGTGTATAGGAGAGGCATGTTGAATCATGTGTTACAGGTACTCAAACCGCGACGCCTCACAAGAAGTTTAGGTTACCATTTTCGTCGGCACAAAATTCGCATCGTATTGGCTGATTTGAAATTCACGAAGGACGCATGAATATTGAGTACCGCTGATTCTAATACACTGTTTTTGATGTCATTCGGCCACTTCTGCATGTGTTTTCCAAATAGTCAAGTGATTTAGAAGTTGCATCCCAGCTAATGTGAATACCATGCGTTGAATCCAACACTAATCTGCGTACAGTTGATTGTCAGTGATAGAGACTTTGTTGAAATAAGTGGAAGTAGATTTGGAAATCTTTATGGAGATCCAGTTCTTCAAGGAAGCAAGTTTATGCTACACACTTTTTTTGTCCTTATTGGGGACTATCAGCATTGCACAATTCACAAGAATGCAGTAAGTCTCAAAACCATGACCTCTTGGGTTCCGGAATTCATCCCGTTTAAGTGCGAGTTACTCGCAAAGCCGATTAACAACATGTCATCGAACGTTTATTGATCAGACTTTTAGCCGGGAGATGGTGGGTTTGAGACAGCTGATGAATCCCAATAAGGACGGAACAGCTGCAAATCGCGTCTTGGCTTTTTGGCACGGATGAGTCTTATCTAGAGGAAGAGATGTCCATTGAGGGCTTGTGAATAATCGTCACTGCAGTAAATCTGTGACACCATGGTGTAGTTTCCTGGAACGTCCAACGTAGGCTGATTAGTTCAGAGAGGTTTGTTGAACAACCGGTGGATCTATTGCTTGGCAACGTTTGGCTCCGAGGGGCTACGTTAGGCTAAGTGGACAGTTTTTCAGGGCACCCCCATCTTATCCGGTGTAGCAAAACATCATGCAGCTGCAGCAACGCAATGCGCGGCTGACGTCATCTAAGGGCAGTTTATGGTAAAGTAAAGTAAAATATTCCTCTTCTCAATTAGGACGTAGCATCCTTGTTGCTTTATTAGTTAAAAGAGCAGGAATAAGTACAGGGAAGATGAGGCGAGATGTTCATCTGAGCAAAAAAAAGAACCAATCCCTAGATCAATTTTTAGGAAGTAGTCGAGGACCTCGGATTCATTTTCACTTGGATACTGATCAAGGTGGCTGATAAGAAATCGAGCGATTGCTCAGTTATGGTCCTTCTTGATGAACGAGAAAGTATGTTCAACGCCGAACTAACGACTGAACCATAGGCCGGCAAATCAACCGACGGTCATTTGCATGATAGCCACTTTCAGCAGACCAAGACTGTATGGAAGTCATCGATGATCTGAACGCAGGGACAAATGACCAAGTGTGTGTACGTGTGTGTGAAGTTACACAGGGCTCCCGATCACATTTGTATAACTGGAAATTCTGGGTCACAGCTCTCGAGTTAGGATATTTAACATTATGTTTCAACTTATCATTGAGATAACTATGTAACGGAAGAAACTCAGATGAAGGTAGAATAATTTACTCAGTATCCAAATTATTCATTTGTCAGGATCTACCGTAAATGTGCATAGGAAAGCTTGAGCTTCCTATGCCACTAAAATGTGTTCCATTTTGTTTTGGTATATATTATTTCGTAACACCATCTAAAGTGGGTTAAAAAGGGACCAGTTGCCGTTTCAGCCCAGAGCCTTTTAAGTGCAAGTGCATTTCATCCATATCGACGAATGATTTCCTTATACAGTACACTCCCATTCTTATATGTTCTGGAATTTGGCGGCAAATTATAAACCCATTCTTTGATACTTCAACTTTCTCGCTTTGAATGTGGAGCAAGTGAACGAAACGTGATTCTACATTTTTGGATAATTTCTCAAACTGGATTTTGGTTGTACTTTTAAATGTGCGTAAATTAGTGTACGACTCTCGTCACAGAACAATCGCCACTATCTTGAGAAGCCGTTTGAAGAAAATCAGACGTCCAAGTAATGTGATACTCATGCAAATAATCCTCTTTCAGAACGAGAGTTTTATGATTTTACGGTGTTAATGAACAGGTACGGTGCTCATATAAATTGTTTGTAGGTTAGGTACGACGTCAGAACAGAACAGAGGTAGCTGAACAGTTTTAGTGCAGACCACCTAAGAGTGAGTAGCCATATGTCAGTGGTACCTTCATGGAAACTATTTGTGTACTGGATATGATTTTGCTTTTGAGGCTTGTTTCAATGGACTACGGAAAGTACCTAAAAACTTCGTTGGAGAGATGTAATTGGTTCAGAAGA